TATGCTTCATATCATCTTCATTCCAGGATCAGGTTGACAAAGTGCCCCAATCTGGAATATGGTAGTGTCTTGTGGCAAAAGGAAAGCAAGACAGTGTTTTTTTAAGGCTAGCTCTTAATTAAATCTCCTTGGATGTCACATATGTCATTCTGTTTGTTGCTTCCACACGACTCCTGAAACAGAATGCTACGGGCACCAGTGACAGTCACAACAAAGTTTATTGCAATAAGAGGCAAGGCCAACCAATCGGGACAGACACTCTTGACCAGAGTGCGGTCTCGAACAGCCAGGGTACAGAGTTTTTATAGCTGACCACATCGTCTTATCATCACCTGGGAACAGAACAAAGAAATAGTTCCCAGATGGGGGTGGAAACAGTTCAGACATGCCCTTGCCCCAATCCAAACACTAATCCAGTTGATTTTCCTTGAACTTTTGTTCCCTTGATTGATAGGACAAGGCTATTATCTCTTAATCTACAGTGTTAAAACAAAGCTGTTATTTCTTAAGGCTACAGGTTAGCCCTACAATACAATTTAACCCTTACACTGTTCACATTCCATTAGCCAAAGCAAGTCACATGTCACTCTTGTGTTCAGGAAGAGGAGGTGAATAATTATGAACAATTACACAATCTACCACAGATGCCATTGGGTTTGGCAATTGGGAAAGCCAGATCGGTGACCTTTGAAAAGAGTTTAATTGGAGAATTGGGTTCTAATAAGTAATAATAATAATAATAATAATAGCTATAATTTACTGATTACTTGCTATAGTTCACATACTGTGGCAAGGGCTTTATATTTATTATCTCATTTTAACTCTCCTTATGGGCTCCTCCTCAATTTGTATGTTGAAACCTAACCCCCAATGGGCTGGTATTAGGAGGTGGGGCCTTTGGGAGATAATTAGGTTGAGAGGGTGGAGCGCTCATGATAGGATTAGTGCTTTATAACAAGAGACAGGAGAGAGCTTGTTTGTGTCCTTCCTTTCTTTCTCTCTCTCACACACCCACCCTCCACCCCCAACCTTGTGAGGACACAGCAAAAAGCCATCAGCAAACCAGGAAGCAGGTTCTCACCAGATACCACACCTGCTGGTACCTTGAGCTTGCGCTTTCCTCCAGAACTTGGAGAAATAAATGTTTGTTGTTTAAGCCAGTCACCCAGTCTGTGGTAATTTGTTATAGCCACCCAAACTGACTAAGACAATCCTTCCATCACAAATGAGGATTAGAGAGATCAAGTGCTGGCTCAAGGTCATAGGACTAGTAAATGATGGAGCAGAGATTCAGGCCAGTTCTATCTGGCTCCAAGGCCAGTATTTTAACCCCTGCAGAGTGAAAGTTACTAGATGGAGGCAATAGCATATGTTTTCTTTTTGGAGAAATTTTGTGAGCATGAGGAATGTAGGGTAGCAGAATATGCTTCACAAAATATGCCCCTTAGGCATAAAGATTATTTTGAACTTAAGATAATTGAGAAGCAGATATTAGAAAGCTTTATACCCTCCCTTCTATTAGCCTAAAAGTAGAAAATAAATTATAAAGGTGTTCTCCAAAAAAAAAAAAAAAAAGAAAAAAAGTATTTTCCGTACTCTCTCTACCAAGAAGGACAAATTTAGTCACTGGAGACAACTTTATTTTTTTAAGGACTTTATTTCTTAAATATCTCTTTATTTTTGAGAGAGATGGGGGGGGGATGGGGATGGGGACAGAGAATCCGAAATGGGCTCTATGCTGCCAGCAGAGCCTGATGTGGGGCTTGAACTCACGAACCGTGAGACTGCAACCTGAGCTGAAGTTGGAACACTTAACCAACTGAGCCACCCAGGTGCCCTAAGGATTTAATTTTTAAGTAATCTCTATACCCAATATGGGGCCTGAAGCTACAACCCTGAGATCAAGAGATACATGCTCTACTGACTGAGCCAGTCAGTTCTTTTGTTATTGTTCTTTTGTTAAAATGCTAAATAAGCTCAAGTTCTATCCACCCCTTTGTTACTCATCTCCAGGTACTCCCATGTGTATGTGTGATGCTCATTAATAAACTTGTTTGTCTTTCTTTTGTTAATTTATCTTTTATTAGTCTAATTACAGGGCCCCTGCTGGAAAACTTACAATGAGGTAGGGGAAAAAAGACTATTCCTCCTTTATGGGATGAATGTTTGAGAAGGAAGCAGGGACCTGGGAAGATATTTACAGGGTTGGGTAGGCTAAGAAGGCTGGGGGAAAAGGCTCTAATGGAGCAGAAACAGTTAATGCTAGGGAAATCCAGGACAGGTGATAAGCAAAATACTTATTTTAGCTTTTGATTGTGTGGATGTGAACTAATTTGCTTTTCTAAGCTAAATTTGCTAATTTGGCTATTTTGAGAATTTAGGTATCTATTTCATGTGTTGAGATAGAGTAACAGGTGAGGGGAGTTGAAAGGCAATTATTATTTGATGGTAGAATGAAGGAAACTTATTTGTCTTCAGTTTTCCTCTCCCAAGCAATTACATAATGTGAAAAATTAAATTGTAAAATTAAATTGCTACATAAAAAAGAATAAAGTTCTGATACATGCTACAACATGGATGTTCCTTGAAAACATTATATTAAGTGAAATAAGCCAGACAGTAAGAGACAAATATTGTATTATTCTACTTGTATAAGATATGTAGAATTAGGGCAAATTCATAGAGATGGAATGTAGATTAGGAATTACTGGGAGCTGGAGGGAGGAAGGAATGGCAGGTTATTGCTTCATGAGTACAAAGTTTCTGTTTGGGGTGATGAAAAATTTTTGAAACTGTAATGATGGTTGTACTAGATTATGAATGTAATTAATGCCACCAAATTATATACTTTAAAATGGTTGAGGAGCGCCTGGGTGGTTCAGTCAGTTGAGTGCTCAACTCTTGATTTCAGCTCAGGTCATGATCCCAGGGTCATGGGATTGAGCCCTGCATTGGGCTCCACACTCAGTTTAAGATTCTCTCTTTCTCTCCCTCTGCCCCCTCCCCCAATTGCACACTCTCTAAAAGAAAATAATAATTAAAAGCAAATAAAATGGTTGAAATGGCAAATTTTGTTATATATCACAATTAAATAAAATAGTAAAAACATTAATTCACTATATTAGAATCCTGTGATTATACTGAGTTGGGGTAGTAGGTTAGGACAGAAGAGTGTTTCATAAAATATGCAAATTACATTTCTCTGATGGGGTGCCTGGATGGCTCTGTTGTTTGAGTGTCTGACTTTGGCTCAGGTCATGACCTCAGGATTCGTGAGTTCAGGCCCCATGTTGGGCTTTGCGCTGACAGCACAGAGTCTGCTTGTGATTCTCTCTCTACCTCTTCTCTGCTCCTACCCCACTTGCACTCTCTCCCTCAAAAGTAAACATTTGAAAAATTAAAAAAAAACAAAACAAAAAGAAGTCACCATACTTCCCACCAAAGAGTATGCAGGGTATTATATTCATTCATGAGGTAAGACATGAATTGCTATTATATTAGTGGCTTGGATCATTCTTCATAAAATTTGACACTAACCTAGAAGTACTGAGGCTGCCAATATGTAGGTGGTCTGAATTATTATAAAGATTTATTTAAACACCAGTGGTGGTGGGGCACCTGGGTGGCTCAGTTGGTTGAGCGTCCCACTTTGGCTGAGGTCATGGGTTTGTGGGTTCGAGCCCCCTGTTGGGCTCTGTGCTGATAGCTCAGAGCCTGGAGCCTGCTTCGGATTCTGTGTCTCCCTCTCTCTCTACCCCTCCCCCACTTGTGTTCTGTCCCTCTCTCTCTCTCAAAAATAAACAAACATTAAAACAAAAGTTTAAACATCAATGGTGGAGGCTTCAAGTATATTACAAATAGCCATGTCTCTATTTTTCACTTGGTGCCTGCTCCTTCTCCCTATTACTCATTAGTTGTTGTTGTGTGTTTTTTTTTTAACCAATCTCTGACTTTACTGGGTTGTACTATTCCAGCAAAGTTACATTTCCTGAGGGCCTCAGATGAACATCAAGTGGGTTTATTAGAAAATCCTCTAGGATGAAACTAATTTCAAAAAGCCACAAACAAATCACCTTTTGGCTTTATTTCCAAATTTTGAATAAAAATTTATGTATTATCTCATTTAATCTTCACAACAGTCCAATGCAAGTACCCCATTATGGTAGTACAATTATTATTCCCATTTCTCAGGTGAGAAAACTGAGGCACAGGTTAAGTATTTGACTAACCAGTACTAAGTAATTAAACACTAAATACAGAATAGTTGAGTACTGGCAAACACTAAATACAGAATAGTTGAGTACTGGCTTTGATGCCGCTTTAAGTTATAAGAGTGGAATGACAGCCACAGGAACTTCGACACACTCTAATACATAATAAGAGTGAAAGGCCACAGAAATTTGACACACTCTAATACAATGATGGCTGTGGGTAACGTCAATTATCTTTTTCGTGGCTTTATTACTACCTCTTTGCTTCTGAATTCGAAATCCTTTTCTAGGGGTTTTCATAGGCGTGGATTTTAGAAGCCAGGCTCCACGTCCGTATTTGCCTTTGCTAGCTAACTGTGCTGTGTTGAGCAAGTCATTTAGCTTCACTGGGCCTGTAGTTTCCTCACTTGTAAGACAGCTGGAACTGGTGACTTACGTGCTGGTGACTAGCATTCGATAAAAAGTACAAAACACCTGGTAGATACTCAATAACTTGAAAGATCGCATTGCCACTTGGGTTAAACAGATTCCAGAGCACGCTGGAGGAGGATCTGGTAGCTTTAAACTTCTGCAAAGGAAAGATTTTCTTCTTTTAGCAATGGCTACTCTCAAGCCACTTGTCTCATTCTCCGCCCCGCCCCCCAACCCCTAGTTGTTTTAGAAATCCAGGACGCCCCAGACGGCTGATTGCCCGCCCGCGGTATCCCGGTCGGCGCACGTGATGACGCATGCGCGTTCTCGGCGGCGGGGGCGCCGCGGTGCCTGCCGGGACTGAGCTCCTAGTAGCCTGATCAGGAAGTGGCGGGCGGAGTCCGGGGCCGAGTCGCGCCGCCTTAGCTGCAGCTGCCGCAGCCGCTGCCGCTGCCGCTGCCGCTGCCACCAGTGCCGAGACCCCGGCCTGGCGGGGCTGCGCTGGGAGTGCGTACGGGCAGGCGGGGGCGCTGACGAGAAGCAGGAAGCGGTGGCCACGCGGGCGTGGGCGGCTGGTCGAGGTGGAGGCGCTGGGAGGCGGCGGCCGGTCGCGTGGGGTGGCCCTCCTCGCTCAGGTAGGGGCTGCAGCCGCCGGGTGAGGGGAGCGGAGCCCCGGCCTGTTGTTCCTCAGGACCGCCTCCTCCCGAGCGGGGAGCCTAGTCTTCCATCTCTCTGGAGGCTGGGGGCCGCGGTTCTCTGCGCGAAACACTAAACACAGTAACAACTTCTTGGGGGCATTGTCTTTTAGGCCGGAGGTCCATTGAGCAAACTTTGGGTTGGAAAGAGAGGATACTGGCAGTCGAAGAGCTGATGGTGTCTCTTCTTAGCCTCCGACTTTACATTAACAGTAGCCGAGCGAAACGTGTGTGGAGTTTGGGGAACCACGGTATCCAGCTAAAGGCTGTGATTTAGATGCATCTTCACGATTTTTTTTTTTAAGCTGCCTGTTGGAGACTTGGTTTGTAATGATTCCTAAACTTCAGTTATTACAGTTGTTGTCTGCAAAGTCTAAAGACCTGTTCCAAATCAAAACGCTACGATACCTTTTCGTCCGACCCTACATTCCTGTCATTTAAGAGGTAGGCAGTCTCATTTCATACCTTGCTGACTGTTCTTAGCAGTATTCTTAGGTGCCAGGGGCCGCTCTGGGGCTTACGCAGGGAAAGAAGGAAAAGTAGAAAGGTTGAAGAAAAATCGAACGATACCGTGGAAAGAACGTGTGATTTCGAGCCAGAAGGTTCTGATTTAAGTTTTGGCTTCTCAGTGACCATCCATGGAGGAACACTTGATCCCCGAGTTGTGCTGATGATTTTTGTTGTTTTAGGGAAAATGGGCATGGTGATGTATCCTGTCTACTACCCAAGTCAGTGTATGTAAAACAGGACAAATTGTTTGAGTAGTCTGAAAAAAAGGAAAAGTTAGGTGGAGCATGCGATGGTGAGAAAGAGGACATTAAGTCTTTTGCTCTAGGTGCCATTGAATGGTACCCGTGTCACACAGGTCGCCTTTGTTTTAGAGGCCTTTACCAGCATTTCAGGTCTGGAGTAGGACGCATTTGATTTAGTAGGCAGGGTATTCATGTCCTGGCCTAGGTACTTACAGCTGTGTGACCTTAACTGTACCTCTTCACTTCAGATTTCACAGATTAAAATAAGGAGTAAAACTAACAGGTTTCGTCTCAAAGAGTTGTGAGGCTCAAATGCTGTAAAGATTTAGGGTTTTTGTGAACTGTACGGCTTTTATTTAAGTGTGTTGAAATCATGATTAAAAGCCTGGTTTAATTACCTGTCTTTACAAGGTGAAATAAACATCTACACATATTTTCTGTTTTAGGCTTGTTGCCCCCACTTTATCACTTGCGATTTCTCCTTTTTTCTCTCACACTTTCCCTCCCCCCCCCAGGACTGTCTCCCACCTTCCTCACCCTGGTATAATCATTTTTTTTCAGATCCAACCCAGAATAGTAACACTGAAATAACACATACTTGTATTGCTTTATTTAAAAAAAAAAGTGCTTTTCATGTCTCATTTTAAAGTTGGGCTAGATGTAGACAGTATTGGTAAGTGTCTTCATTTTGCCTATGATAAAATTGGATTTAGGTCTAGTGGATTGCCTAGGGTCATGTTGCAGTTTAGAGAGGAGTACTGAGAGAAGTCAGGTCCTTGGATTCCATTGCCTGTGACTCTCACTCAAATAAAGTTTACTCTGATTATTTCTTATCAGTGCTTATTACATTTTTAACTTTTACCACTCTGAGTCACATTTTATCCATTGCTTTTTAAGTGAGGTGCTCAATCCTTTCATGTTCTTCAACTTAAGCTGCGTGAAGGCAAGGGTTTATCTTCCAGAACCCTTCAAAGCTTGGGAGTTATGCAAACACAAGACAAGTACACAAAGATTGAGGTCACAAACACAAGACATTTAATAAAGGCCTGTGAAACCTGTAACGAGGCTAGAGCAATTTAAAGGTGTTTTTGTGTTCGTTATTCATTTAACAAATATTTATTGAGCTACTTTGTGCATGAAGGCTTTCAAAATTAAGATACAATCTTTTTCCTCCCAGACCTTCCTTCCCTACTTGTGAAGAATGCAGAAATCATTTACGTGGTCAGTTTGTGTGCTTCCTAGACTCCATGGTGTTCTAGGAGAGTTCAAACAAGAGGAACTTTTTTTCTTTACCGAGGTATAATTGACACACAATGTTACATTAGCTTCGAATATACAGGATGGTGATTTGTACAACTCTGTGCCTTATGCTGTGCTCACCAGAAGTGTAGCTACCATCTGTCACCATACAGTGCTGTTATAGTACCATTGACTCTATTCCCTGTGCTAAACTTTTCATCCTGGTGATTTAATCTTTCCTTAACTGGAGGCCTCGATAGCCTACTCCCTTTCACCCATTTTGCCCATTTTCATATCCCCCATCAATCCCTCCTTTGGCAACCATCAGTTTATCCTGTGCTTATGGGTCTGAAGAGAGGAACTTTTTAAAATTTCAATTCCAGTGTAGTTAACGTACAATGTTACATTAATTTCAGGTGTACAATATAATGATTGACCAGTTCCATATATTACTCCATGCTCATCAACATAAGTGTACCTTTGGGGCACCTGGGTGGCTCAGGTGGTTGAGCATACGGCTCTTGATTTGGCTCAGGTCATGATCTCACAGTTTGGGGGTTTTGAGCCTCTCATGGAGCTCTGTGCTGACAGCACTCAAAGCCTGCTTGGGATTCTCTCCCTCTCTGCCCCTCCCCTGCTCTCGCTTGCACGGTCTCTCAAAATAAAGAAACAAACAAACAAAAAAGATAAGTATACTGTTAATTCCCTTCTCTATTTTCCCCATCCCCTGCCCACCTCCCCTCTGGTAACCATCAATTTGTTCTCTATAGTTAAGACTCTTTTTGGGTTGTCTTTGTTTTTTTCCCCCTTTGTTTTGTTTCTTAAATTCCACACATGAGTGAAATCATATGGTATTTGTCTTTCTTTGGCTGGCTTGTTTTACTTAGCATTATACTCTCTAGATCCATCTGTGTTGTTGCAAATGGCAAGATTTCATTATTTTTTATGGCTGAATAATATTCCATTGTGTACATATGTGTGTGTGTGTGTGTGTATATATATATATATATTATGTGTACCTCATCTTCTTTATCCATTCATCTACTAATGGACACTTGGGCTGGTTCCATAATTTGACTATTGTAAATAATGCTGCAATAAACATAGGGATGATATATCTTTTCAAATTAGACTTTTCCTATTCTTTGGGTAAGTACTGAGTAGTGCAGTTACTGGATTGTAAAATAAGAGAAGAACATTTTATTTTTTATTTATTTAGAAAATTTTTTTTGACAGATTGAGATTTTTATTTTTTAATTCTTTTTATTATTATTTTTTTAATATTTATTTTTGAGAGAGGGCGAGCACGAGCTGGGGAGGGGCAGAGAGAATGGGTGACAGAGGATCTGAAGAGGGCTTTGCAGTGATAGCAGAGAGCCCCATGCTGGGCTCGAACTTAGGAGCCATGAGATCATGATCTGAGCCAGAGTTGGCCACTTAGCCGACTGAGCCACCCAGGTGCCCCTAAAAAAATTTTTTTTTAAGTTTATTTATTTATTTTGAGAGACAGACCAAGAGTAGGGGAAGGGCAGGGAGAGAGGGACTCCCAAACAGGCTCCACAGAGCCCGACTTGAGGCTCAAACCCATGAATGGTGAGATCATGACCTGAGCTGAAACCCAAGAGTGGGCTGCTTAGCTGACTGAGCCACCCAGGTGCCTGAAGAGAGGAACATTTTAAAATACTTGTGGGGCACCTGGGTGGTTCAGTTAGTTAAGCGGCTCACTCTTGGTTTCAGCTCAGTCATGATCTCAAGGTTTGTGGGTTTGAGTCTTGTGTCGTGCTCTGTGCTGACAGCTGGAGCCTGCTTCCAGTTCTGTGTCTCCCTCTCTCTCCCCTGCTCATGCTGTCTCTCAAAAATAAACATTAAAAAAACCCAAAAAAACCCAAAAACTTGTTGAATGATCTGTGGCTTCCCTGGCTGTACTAAAGTTGCTTAGGACTCTGAAGTTTTAGAACTGGGGAAAAAAACAAAAGAAGAGATCTAGTGCCACCTCCCTCTAAATCAGGAATTTTCTGTAAATATTTCTAACGAATTGTAATCAAGCCTTGTTATGACACAATGACATAGAGTTCACCAGGTCTTTTTTAATTTAATTTTTTAAATTTATTTTTTATTAGTATTATTTTTTTAATGTTTATATGAGAGCTAGTGTGGGGTGTGGAAAAGAGAGAGGGAGACAGAGAATCCCAAGCAGGCTCTGTGCTATCACCACAGAGCCTGATGTGGGGATTGAACTCATGAACTGTGAGATCATGATTTTAGCTGAAATCAAGTCAGATGCTTAATCAACTGAGCCACTCAGTGCCCCTTTTTTTAATTAAAAAAACAAATTTTTGGTTTGTTTTGTTTTTTGAGAGAGTGAGAGGGAGCAGAGGAGTGGGGCAGAGGGGGCGGGGAGGTGGGGAGAGAAAAAGAGAGAGAAAGAATTTTAAGCAGGTTCCACGGTCAGCACGGGGCCTGACTCAGGTTGATCCCACAACTCTGGGATCATGACCTAAGCCGAAATCAAGAGTCCGATGTTCAACCCATTGAGCCACCCAGGCGCCCCAAGAATTCACCAGTTTTAAAAGACATCTTTTCATTTATAAGTAATTCTGATGATTTTTCCCCCAATGAACCTGTATCTGCTTCCTAACTTCTGCCGAGTAGTCTGATGTTTCTGGAGCAGTGTTGTCCAATAGAAATACAATGAGAGCTGCAAACATGAGCCACACATGTAGTTTAAAAATTTGTTTTTAAAACATGTTTATTTAGTTAGGGAGAGAGTGTGCCTATGTGTGCAGGGGAGGGGCAGAGAGAGAGGGAGAGAATCCCAAGCAGACTCCACGTGGTCAGTGCAAAGCTGGATGCAAGCTTGAACTCACCAACATCACAACTTGAGCCAAAACCAAGTGTTGGACGCTTAACCAGCTGAGCCACCCAGGTGGCCTGTAAAATGTTTTAATTAAAAAAAAAATCAGTTTTAATTTGTCTTTATTGAAGTATAATTGACATACAATGTTATATTAGTTTTAGGTATACAGCATTTTTTTTTAAGTTTTTATTTTGTTTTATTATTTGAGAGAGAACACAAGTGGGAAAGGGGAAGACATAGATTCTCTGTCCCAAGCAGGCTCTGTGTTGCCAGCACAGAGCCTGATGTGGGGGGCTCAAACCCGTGAAAACCGTGAGATCATGACCTGAGGCGAAATCAAGAGTCGGACGATTGACTGAACCACCTGGGCGCCCCTAAGTGTACAACATGTTGATTCAACAGTTACATACATTACTAAATGCTCTCTGTGATAGGTACAGCCACCGTTTGTCACCATGCAACATTATTGCATTATTATTGAGTATATTCCCTAATGCTGTACTTTTCATCTCCTCAACATATTTATTTTATAACTGGAAGTTTGAAAAAAAAATAACTGGAAGTTTATACTTTTTATTTATTTTTAAGTTTATACTTTTTAATACCCTTTACCTATTTTGCCCATCCCCCCACCAACCTCTCCTCTGGCAACCACCAGCTTGTTCTCTGTATTTAAGAGTCTGTCTGTGGCACAAAAACAGACACATAGACCAATGGAATAGAATAGAAACCCCAGAACTAGACCCACAAACGTATGGCCAACTCATCTTTGACAAAGCAGGAAAGAACATCCAATGGAAAAAAGACAGTCTCTTTAACAAATGGTGCTGGGAGAACTGGACAGCAACATGCAGAAGGTTGAAACTAGACCACTTTCTCACACCATTCACAAAAATAAACTCAAAATGGATAAAGGACCTGAATGTGAGACAGGAAACCATCAAAACCCTAGAGGAGAAAGCAGGAAAAGACCTCTCTGACCTCAGCCGTAGCAATCTCTTACTCGACACGTCCCCAAAGGCAAGGGAATTAAAAGCAAAAGTGAATTACTGGGACCTTATGAAGATAAAAAGCTTCTGCACAGCAAAGGAAACAACCAACAAAACTAAAAGGCAACCAACGGAATGGGAAAAGATATTTGCAAATGACATATCGGACAAAGGGCTAGTATCCAAAATCTATAAAGAGCTCACCAAACTCCACACCCGAAAAGCAAATAACCCAGTGAAGAAATGGGCAGAAAACATGAATAGACACTTCTCTAAAGAAGACATCCGGATGGCCAACAGGCACATGAAAAGATGTTCAGCGTCGCTCCTTATCAGGGAAATACAAATCAAAACCACACTCAGGTATCACCTCACGCCAGTCAGAGTGGCCAAAATGAACACATCAGGAGACTATAGATGCTGGAGAGGATGTGGAGAAACGGGAACCCTCTTGCACTGTTGGTGGGAATGCAAATTGGTGCAGCCGCTCTGGAAAGCAGTGTGGAGGTTCCTCAGAAAATTAAAAATAGACCTACCCTATGACCCAGCAATAGCACTGCTAGGAATTTATCCAAGGGACACAGGAGTACTGATGCATAGGGGCACTTGTACCCCAATGTTCATAGCAGCACTCTCAACAATAGCCAAATTATGGAAAGAGCCTAAATGTCCATCAACTGATGAATGGATAAAGAAATTGTGGTTTATATACACTATGGAATACTACGTGGCAATGAGAAAAAATGAAATATGGCCTTTTGTAGCAACGTGGATGGAACTGGAGAGTGTGATGCTAAGTGAAATAAGCCATACAGAGAAAGACAGATACCATATGGTTTCACCCTTATGTGGATCCTGAGAAACTTAACAGGAACCCATGGGGGAGGGGAAGGAAAAAAAAAAAAAAAGAGGTTAGAGTGGGAGAGAGCCAAAGCATAAGAGACTGTTGAGAACTGAGAGCAAACTGAGGGTTGATGGGGGGTGGGAGGGAGGAGAGGGTGGGTGATGGGTATTGAGGAGGGCACCTTTTGGGATGAGCACTGGGTGTTGTATGGAAACCAATTTGACAATAAATTTCATATATAAATTAAAAAAAAAAGTCTGTCCATTTGTTTTTTAGATGACATGTGTAAATGAAATCATATAGTATTTACCTCTCTGCTTACTTTGTTTAGTATAATACCCTCTAGGTCCACCCTTGTCTCAGAGGGCAAGATCTCATTCTTTTTGTGGCTCCTAGTCCATTGTGTGAGTATGTGTGTGTACATACACATATGTGTATGTATACATACATGTATGTGTATACATATATGTACGTGTATACATATATGTACGTGTATACATATGTGTATACATATACGTATGTGTATACGTATATATGTGTATACATACACACGTATGTATACACATATATATGTGTCTACACATTACACACGCCACATTTATTTTCTTTGTCCGTTTATCTGTTAATACAGTTGGGTTGCTTCCATATCTTGGCAATTGTAAAGAATGCTGCCATAAACAGGACTGCATTATCTGATAGTGCTTTTGTTTTCTTTGGGTAAATACCAGGGAAATTATTGGATCATATAGTATATCTATTTTTAATTTTTTGGAACCTCTATACTGTTTTCCACAGTGGCTGTACCAGTTTGCATTCCCATTGGTAGTGCATGAGGGTTGCTTTTTCTCCACATCCTGTCTGCACATGTTATTTCTTTTTTATAACAGCCATTCTGACTGGTGTGAGGAGATATCTTATTGTGGTTTTGATTTGCATTTCCTTGATGATTAGTAATATTAAGTATCTCTTCATGTGTCTGTTGGCCATTTGTATGTCATCTTTGAAAAATGTCTATTCAGGTCCTCTACGCATTTTTAATTGAATTGTTTGTGGGGGTTTTTTTGGGATGTGTGTGTGTGTGTGTGTGAGATATAACTTCTTTATTTTGGATATTAACCCCTTATCAGATATATCATTTGCAATTATCTTCTCCCATTCAGCAGGTTATCTTTTTGTTTTGTTGATGGTTTCCTTTGCTGTGCACAAGCTTTTTGTTTTGATGAAGTCCCAATAGTTTATTTTGGCTTTTGTTTCCCTTGCCTGAGGCAACACATCTAGAAAAGTGTTGCTAAGGCCAGTGTCCAGCAGATTACTGTCTGTATTTTTCTTTTAGGAGTTTTAAGGTTTCAGGTCTCACATTTGGTCTTTAATCCATTTTAGTTTATTTTTGTGTATGGTGTAAGAAAGTGGTTCAGTTTCTTTTTTGCCTGTAGGTGTCTAGTTTTCCCAGCACCATTTGTTGAAGATTCTTTTTGCCATTGTATGTTCTTGCTTCCTTTGTCATGAGTTCATTGACCAGTAAGGGTCGGTTTATTTTTGGCCTCTCTCTTCTGTTCTGTTGATCTATGTATCTCTTTTTGGGTCAGCACCATAACTGTTTGATTACTGTAGCTTTGTAGTATATCCTGATACCTGGGATCATGATACCTCCAGTTTTTTGTGCTTCTTTTTCAAGATTCTTTTGGCTATTCAGGGTTTTTTGTGGTTTCATACAAATTTTAGGATTATCTTATTCTAGTTTTGTGAAAAATGCTATTGGTATTTTGTTTGGGGATTGCATTGAATCTGAAAATTGCTTTGAGTAGTAAGGACATTTTAATGATGTTCTTCTAATCCATGAGCATGGAATATCTATTTGTTTCACCTTTAGTTTCTTTCATCAGTGTCCTTTAGTTTTCAGAGTATATGTAGGTCTTTGATCTCCTTGGTTAAATTTATTCCTGAGTATTTAATTCTTTTTGGTGCAATTGTAAATGGGATTGTTTTCTTAATTTCTCTCTCTCCTACTTTGTTATTAGTGTATAGGAACAGAACAGAACAGATTTCTGTACATTAATTTTGTATCCTGAAACTATACTGAATTCACTTACTAATTTTTTGGTGGAGTCTTTAGGGTTTTCTGTATATAGTATCATGTCTTCTGGAAATAATGACAGTTTCACATTTTCATTACAAGTTTGGATGCTTTTTATTTTTCTTGTCTGTTTGCTGTATCTAGAACTTCCACTGCTATATTGAATAAAACTGGTGAGAGTGGACATCCTTGTCTTATTCCTGATCTTGGAGAAAAAGCTCTCACTTTTTTTTTACCATGGAGTATGATGTGAGCTTTGAGTTTTTCATTTTGATCTTTATTATGTTATGTTGAGATATGTTCCCTCTAAACCCACTTCGTTGAGAGTTTTCATCCTGAACAGATTTTGTATTTTGTCAAATGCTTTTTCTGCATTTATTGAGATGATCATATAGTTGGGGGAAATTAGTTTTAATATTTTTTTAACCTAGGATATCCAAAATATTATCACATCAACATGTGATAAAATATCTCCTCATGAGGTGTCTCGGCTTAGTAGGCTAAGTGTCCAACTCTTGATATCAGCTCAGGTCCTGATCTCACGGTTCATGAGATGGAGCCCTGTGTCAGGCTCTGTGCTGTCAGCGCAGATTCTCTCTCTCCCTATCTCTATGCCCTTCCCCTGCGTGCTCGCTCTCTCTCTCTCTCTCTCTCTCAAAAAATGAACTTAAAAAAAAAATCTCATCAGTAGTTTTAAAAGTTCTTTTGTGCTAAATCTTTTAGATCTAGTGTGTACGTTTCAACTCTAGCCCCATTTCATGTGTTCCATAGGCACATGTGACCAGTGGGTATCATATGGGACAGTGCAGTTCCTAGAGCTTTAGAGACTAATTCTATTTCTCTTTATTAGTGCCTAGCACAGTGCCTGGCACTAACTGAAGATTGTTAAGTGAATCACTAAGTGAATTAAAACAAGTGCTGGAGAACTTATAATAAAAGGTAATTTTGTTTGGAAGTAATTCTTCTTGGGACCTATGGATTTGGCCTATAGGTTTGAGTGATTAGAATCTGTATTGAAGATATTTACTTTTATCTTTGCAGAAATATGGATCCAAGCCTGTTGAGAGAACGAGAGCTGTTCAAAAAACGAGCTCTTTCCACTCCTGTAGTAGAAAAACGTTCAGTATCTTCTGAGTCATCATCATCATCATCAAAGAAGAAGAAAGCAAAGCTAGAACATGGAGGATCATCAGGCTCTAAACAAAATTCTGGTCAGTAAAAAATGACTGTTTAGGACTTTTTATTTTTCAGGAAACCATTTATTTAATCATGGCAAGTTCATTTTTTATAAAGTTTTTTTTTTTTTTTTTTGTTTTTTTTTGAGGGAGTGTGTGCATGCACTTGCTTGCTGGGAACAATGGGGAGGGGGAGAGAGAGAGAGGGAAAGAGAGAGAGAGAAAGAAAGAAAGAAAGAAAGAAAGAAAGAAAGAAAGAAAGAAAGAAAGAAAGAAAGAAAGAAAGAAAAAGAAAGAAAGAAAGAAAGAAAGAAAGAAAGAAAGAAAGAAAGAAAGAAAGAAAGAGAATGAGAGAGAATCCCAAGCATGAACCATGAGATCATGACCTGGGTCGAAATCAAGAGTTGGACACTTAACTGACTGAGCCACTCAGGCACCCCAACAAGTTCATTTTTTAGTTCAACATTATACAGTGATAAGAGAGTATATTGCTTTTAAGATATTAATCATCTTGTGTTGTAGTTAGAATTTAGGTTATTATCTTTTCAGAGAATAACTTTGTTGAAGTTTATATACCATATAGCTCACTCATTTTAAATGTACAATTCAAATATTTTTAGTAAATTTAGAGAATTGTGCAACTATTGATATAATTCAATTTTAGAACATTTCCATCACCCCGAAAAGATGCTTTGTGCCCATTCTCTTCTTGTTCCCACCCTAGCCCCAGATAACCAATAGCTTTCTTTCTCTATATATTTGCTTTTTCTGGATGTTTCACATAAATGGAATTGTACAATAAGTGGCCTGTAGTGGGTGGCTTCTTCTACTTAGCATTTATTGAGATGATCATGTTCTTTTTGTTTATGCTATTAACATGGCATATTATATTTATTGATTTTTCAGATAAAATCAGCCTTGCATTCTTGGAATAAATCCTTCTTGGTTGGTGTATAATCTTTTTTATTTGTTGTGGCATTCAATTTGCTGATATTTTGTCCAGGATTCATCTATCTGTAGCATGTATCAGTACTTCATTCTGTTTTATTGCTGAAGAGTAATCCACTGTATGGGTATACTACAGTTTGTTTATCCATTCATGAGTTAATGGACATTTGGATTATTTCCATTTATTGGCTATTATGAATACTTCTGCTATGAACGTTGATGTACAAGCTTTTGTGTGGACTTGTTTTTGGTTTCGTTTTTTTCTCTTGGATAGAGGACCTAAGAACAGAACTTCTGAGTCATGTGGTAATTTTATGCTTTAACTTTTTAAGAAGTTACTAAAATGGCTGTACCATTTTCCATTCTTAACCATCAATGCATGAGGGTTCTATTTTTTTTATTCTTGTTAAAACTTATTTCTTGTCTTTTTTATTATAGCCATTCTAGTGGTTGTAAAATGGTATCATTGTGGTTTTAATATGCAGTTCCCTAATGACTAATGATGTTGAGCGTCATTTCATTTGCTTTTTGGCCTCTTCATGGGTCATCTTGGGACAAATGTCTATTCATATTTTTTTGCCCATTTTTCATTGTTTTCTTTCTATTGATTTGTAAGAGTTCCTTATAGATTCTGAGTACAGTTTCTTGATCCAGTATCACTTGCATTCTTGGTGTCATATGTAGGAAATCTTTGCCTAACCCAAGGTCATGAAAATTTACTCTTATGTTTTCTTGTAAGAGTTTTATAGTTTTAGCTCTTATATTTAGGTCTGTGATATGTTTGAGTTGATTTTTTGTGTATGGTTTAACATAAGGGTCTAACTTCATCTTTTTGTGTGTGGTTATTCAGTTGTCCCCACGCCATTTCTTGAAAAGACTGTCTTTTCCCACTGATTTGCATTGGCCTGCTTGTTGATTATCAGTTGACTATGAATGAATTTATTTCTAGAATCTCAGTTTGGTTCCATTGATTCTATGTCTATCCTTAATTCCATACTCTCTTGATTGCTGTAGCATCAGCATAGGGAAAGTGGAAGTCTTCACTTTTGTTTTTCTTTTTCCAAGATTGTTTTGTTTTTTTCCTGGATTCTTTGCATTCAAATAAAATTTAAGAATACCTTGTCCATTCCTATCTGTAAAAGAGCCAGTTGTGATTTTTATAGGGATTGTATTGAATCTGTAAGTCAATTTGGGGAGAATTGGTATCTTAACAATATTAAGTCTTCCAGTCAATGAACATGGATATCTTTTCATCAATATAGGTTTTTTATGTCTTCTGGCTATGTTTTGTAGGTTTTTTTTTTTCATGTTTATTTTTGAGAGAGAGACAGAGTACAAGTGGGGGAGGAGCAGAGAGAGAGAGAGAGAGAGAGAGAGAGAGAGACAGACAGACAGACAGAATCCTAAGCAGGCTCCAGCCTCTGGACTGTCAGCACAGATCCTAATGCGGGCCTCAAACTCACGAACTGTGAGATCATGACCTAAGCCAAAGTCAGATACTTAACTGACTGAGCCACCGAGGCGCCCCTGTAGCTTTTAATGTATAAGTCTTACATGTATTTTGTTAAATTTATTCCTAAGTATTTTATTCTTTTTGATATTACTGTGAGTGAAATTGTTAATTTGATTTTTTAGATTGTTCCTTCCTAGTAAATAGAAGTACAGTAGATTTTTGCACTTTGATCTTCTGCAACCTTGCTGAACTTGTTCATTATTTATAGTTTTTTTGTGTGAATTCCATAGGTTTTTTTACTTGAAAGATTATGTCATCTGTAAATAAGGACAGATTTATTTGTCCTTTCCAATGTGAATGCCTTTTCTTCCGTCTTTCCTCTTTTTCTCTCTCCGCCCCTCCGTCGTTTCTCTCCCCCTCCCTCCTTTCCTCTCACCCCCTCTGAGCTGGCTAATAGGATGTTGAATACAGGTAGTGAGAGTGAACAGCTTTGCCTTGTTCCTGATCTTAGGGGAAATGCATTCAATCTTCCATCATTATGTATGATCTTAGCTGCCTGGATTTTGTAGATGCCCATTATCAGGTTGAAGTTTCCCTCTACTTCTAGCTTGTTGAGAGTTTTTTTTTTTTATTTTATTATTTTTTAAGTTTGTTTATTTGAGAGACAGAGATAGCATGAATGGGGGAGGGGCAGAGAGAGAATCCCAGACAGACTGCACACTGTCAGCCCAGAGCCTGATGCAGGGCTCGATCTCATGAAGCATGAGATCATGACCTGAGCTGAAACCAAGAGTTGGACACTCAACTGACTGAGCCACCCAGGTGCCCCAGTTTGTTGAGAGTTTTTGATCTTAAATGAGTTTTGGATGTTATCAAGTGCTTTTTCTACATCTGCTAAGAAGATCTTGCTTTTCTTTATTAATATTACATTAATTGGTTTTCAGATGTTAAACCAACCTGGCATTCTTAGAAAAAATCCTACTGTTGGTAGGAATGCAAACTGGTACAGCCACTCTGGAAAGCAGTGTGGGGGTTCCTCAAAAAATTAAAAATAGAGTTACCCTACAACCCAGCAATAGTACTACTAGGAATTGTCCAGAGGATACAGGAGTGCTGATTCATAGGGACTCATGTACCCCAATATTATAGCAGTGCTGCCAACAATAGCCAAATTATGGAAAGAGCACAAATGTCTGTCAACTGATGAATGGATAAAGAAGATGTGGCGTATATACACAACAGAATACTACTTGGCAAAGAAAAAGAATAAAATCTTGCCATTTGCAACAATGTGGATAGAACTGGAGGCTATTATGCTAAGTGAAGTAAGTCAGAGAAGACAGATAATCATGTTTTCACTCATGTGGAATTTGAGAAACTTAAAACCATGGGGGAAGGGAAGGGGGAAAATAGTTACAAACAGAAGGAGGCAAACCATAAGAGTCTTTTAAATACAGAGAACAAGTTGAAGGCTGATGGGGGACGGGGGAGGGGAAAATGGGTGGAGGGCATTGAGGAGGGCACTTGTTGGGATGAGCACTGGGTATTGCATGTAAGCAGTGAATCATGGGAATCTACTCCCGAAGCCAAGAGTACCCTGTATACACTGTATGTTAGTTAACTTGACTATATATAAGTGTGTGTGTATATATATATGTGTGTGTGTGTGTGTGTGTATATATATAAATCCTATTGGTCATGATGTATATAATCTTTTTTATTTGTTGTGGAATTCAGATAGCTAATATTTTGTACTGGAGTTTTATGTTTATATTCATGAGGGTATAGTCTGTAGTTTTCTTGGATGCCTGTGAGGGTATTTGTGGCCTCATAAAATGATTGGTGAAGTGTTCTCTTTTCCACTGTTTCTGGAAGAGTTTGTGAAGGTTTGATATAATTTTCCCTTTAAATGTTGGATAGAATTCACTAGCAAAGGCATTTGGGCCTGAGCTTTCCTTTGTGAGAAGCTCTCATAGAAATTCTTCTTGTAGATCTATTCAGATTATCTGTTACCTTCTTGAGTTAATTTTGGTGCCTTGCATCTTTTTAGGAGTTTGTCCATTTCATTATCTACATTGTCTAAAATTTTTCAAAAGTATTTCCTTGCAAGCCTTTGACTTTTGTAAGGTCATTAGTGATATCCCTCCTCTCTTTTGTTGTTTTTTTGTTTTTTTTTTTTTCTTAGAGTGTGAGAGTGGGGTAGGGAGGATGGGGGGGCGGGGGTGGGGTGGGGAGCGGGGGGAGAGAGGGAGAGAGTGAGAGTCAGTCCCCAGCAGCTCCACACTGAGCGAGGAGCCCAAAGCAGGGCTTGATCCCAGGACCCTGGGATCATGACCCCAGCTGGAATCAAGAGTTAGCTGCTCAACCAACCGAGCTACCCAGGCAGCCTTTCCCTCTTTCATTTCTGATTTTAGGAATTTATGTTTTATTTTGTTGATCTTTTCAAAAAAATCAACTTTTGATTTAATTGATTTTTCTCTTGTGTTTTTCTGTTTTTTATTTTATTTCTATTTCACCATTTTTTTTTTTCTGCTTATTTTGGGTTTAGTTTAGCCTTAGACTGTTACCTTTTAAACAAGGTCAGTCCAGCTTAATTCACAACTAATTATTTACCTACTTATAAAATGTAGTAAGTAATCTTTATGGATGTCATTTTGTTAGGTGTTTTTCAAGCTGTTTTACTAACTGATGTTAAAGCAGAGGTAATCTTTTTATTGAGCAGGGCTGTTATTAGAACATACATGAAGTTTATGTCTCATTTCAATGAAATGTACATTGAATTAATTCACAGTACACTGTTTTATTAAACATTAGCATGGGTGCCTGGGTACTTCAGTCGACACTTGATTTTGGCGCAGGTCATGATTTCACAGTTCATGGGATTGAGCGCTGAACCTACTTGGAATTCTCTCTCCCTCT